GGTCCCTCGGGCAGCCTCTGGTGCGGCCGCCGGGGTCAGCTGCCACCTTCTCCTTTGACTCTGCTCAGTGTCAGTCGGTTTTCCTCTTCTGCCTCCGTGATCTTTATGTGCAGACATGTTCTTTCTTTGAAGTTTAGGTAACACATTTTTTTTTGCAGTTTAGAGTAAAAGGTACATAATTTCGGTATTTGCTAGTTTATGGACAAAAGCATAGTGAAAGCAAACTTTTCTGTTTCGCTTGTGTCTTGAGGCGTTGGGCTCAGTCAGGCGTTGCCCCCGGTCTGGTGGGAGGTGTCCCTGCCCATGGCAGGGGGTGCAACGGGATGGTCTTTAAGGTCCCTTCCAACCCAAACCGTTCTGCAGTTCTATCACTAATAAATCACACTTGCTGCAGAGCAAACGCGATGTGTTTGATGGCAAAAGGGAAATCAGTGTGGGGTTTTTCCCATCGTGCTGAACAGCCAAGAAGAAACCACGTAGTTGTCTTGAACTGTCTTTGCTTTGCAAGAGAAAGTGGGCGCCGAAGAGACAAGCAGGGAACTGAGGGGCCTGTTCTGGAGGCAGGTGCAGATCTGCAGGGCTGAAGCTCCCTGGGCCCCTCGGCAAGGGCCGTTTTCTTCTCAACAAGCTCATCTTGGTTTTCAGCCTGAGGTAATGGCTTGTGTCACCTGTGTCTCTCTCTGTGCACTAGTGGTTCACAAGCCATCCCGGTCTGCCTTTTTGAGTTGTTCAAATCTAAAACAGGACCTGGAATCTCCTGGGATGAGTTGAGCCATAAAATATCATTATAATGGATAATGTAACCAATTATGATTTCAGTAAATCCCGTAATGCTAAACCAGCATATTAATCCTCTTGCCAATTCTCGCACCTGAGGAAGGGCTTACCCTGCCCACTGTTAAGGGGCCAGAACCTGTGGTCTGAAGTCCTGTGTTTTGCCCACAGACTCCTTGGTCCAAAGCAGAGAAAGCAGGGGAGCTGAAATACAGTCCTTGGTCTGTGGGGCTCCTTTCAGTTGATTCTAGGATCAGCGTAATTGCAGTTTCTGCTGAAAAGGTTTGTAGCATGAGATTTTGGTTTACTGGTTTACGATAGGGATCGAAAATTTTTGTCATGGACATTTTTGTTGTTCCCAAGAAAGATGAGTTAAAATCTGCAGGTGGTGCCCAGCCAGTTTCACATTTAATTGTCAAGAACCTGTTTTACAAACAAAAAAAGCTTTTTTGTCTATCTGCTTGACACAGCTATTTTCCAGCATTGCAGTTACGTGGATGTAGGGTCTGATGGGATGAGGGACGTAATTCCATGGACAAGACAGTGCGACTTTGCAGTTTCTCAGTTCAGTTCAAAATTCCTAATTCAATTTCAAAATCACTTTACAAAAAGAATAATCTACAATCAAACAGTTTTTCTCCTGTCCAAAAACCATGGCAAGCCCCAGGCAGGCAGAGGAGTAAAGTGCCAGGACAAACCAACCTTCGGGAGGGCAGAGCCCTGGGAGCTTCTCTGCCTGATCGGCTGCTGCTGGGCCGGAGGAGGCACCAGGAGGAACTGGGTGGGACTTGTGTGATGCTGAGTCGCGCTGTCGTGGCTTGGGTACTGGAAGCAGATCCTGCTTCATTTTCCTCTTCTCTCCCAGAGGAACCGGTGTATGGCCCTGGGTGTCTCAAAAATGGGCTTTGGGTGTAATTCTGTTCCTTGAGGGGTTTGGTTTTGTTTTGGGTTTTTTGCCTCTTGTTTACAGCTACACTAGGAGCTGTGTTCGGCTCAACCACCTGCCTCAGTGCCCACATCCGAGAGAAACCGGAGGATCCCTTGAACTATTTCATAGGAGGCTGTGCAACAGGAGCTGTCCTGGGGGCAAGAGGTAAATGTGGATAATGCCTGTGATGAAATGAGCCCTCTCTGGTTTTAGAAACCTTTCTGGTTGGGAAGAACGTAAAATAATCTCGACATCAGACATGTTTGGTAAAGATTCGTCTCGGCATCTGGATTCCTTTTCACGCCAGTGTCATCGACGCGCCACCGTACAGGTCAGCTAAATCAATACTGCTGCAGAAGGACACTGGAGGTGACCTCAAGCTGATTTACAGACTGAAAACAGAGCTGACCCAGTACTGCCAATTATAACTGCCACTTATAACTTGAAACTGAAGGGTATGAAAAATGTAATTATGGAAATCCCCATTTTCTTGGCAACAAACGTGATTTATTTTACGTGAAAAATACAGTCTGAGGTCTGCCTTGGGAGTTCCTCATGCACTCTGAGGGACACGCTGCATCTCGCTGCTGTTGTTCCTATGGCACCTCGTCAGGCTAGATTGGCTCCTGCAGGTATTTGTACAGCTCTGTTTGCTGTAGACATTCAGATCCAGCGTACAGGATGTGAGGGATTTACTTGTTTTGTAACTGGTAAAATGGGATTTACCTTTCCTTTTCCTAGTTGCTGAGCTGAGGAGAGTTTGAAGCAGCGATTGTTATTTTTGTCACTGAAATAAGCAATTTGAGATTGCCCGTGTAAGGAGGTGGGGTGGTGGGTTATAGAAACGGATGCTTCAGATGGCAAGCTAAAAGCATGAGAAAACTGAATTTTTTAAAAAAATTAACTTTTCCAGTTTCTCTTGGCAAACAGCATTACTGATACTCAAGGGATTGTGAGCAGCTCACGCAAGAATTGCAGAGTGTCGAGATCTGCTGTGCAGTACTTGTGCCCTAACAGATTTTTACCGTTTGATGTGTTTTTCCAGCTCACAGTTACATGACCGGCACCACCGCGTGTTTGGGGTTTGGAACTGCCGCTGCTCTAATGAAGATAGGCAACCTGGAGGGCTGGAGGCTGACGGGACCTCCCAAGCTGTAAATGTCGCCTTTTCTCCCTGCGAGCTGTCTTTCGAATGCTGTGTGTAATGAGGCGTTGGGTAATAAAGATACCATCAAATGGGTGGTTGTGGCACAATTTTGATGTCGTCCGGCTGTTTGTAGTGTGGGGGCTGAGATGGAAAAGCGGTGGAGCCGTTGGAGAGGAAGCGGCAGCTGCTGCTTCTGCTGAGATTTTGCTTCTGTGTCTCTAGTGCACACGCAAGCCTGAGGGCTGCAGTGACCATTCTCAGCCCAGTCATTTAGGAGCTGTTCTGGCTGATTTGGGTGGGTCCTGCAGGATTTTTTGGCAAGGGTTGGGATTGCACCGCACCAAGCCCGTCATTAAGGGTTTGGAGTCAAAACTTCTGAAGAAGTGTTTGGCTCTAGGTTGAGGAGGAGGAAGCTGGGGTGGGGGAAGGAGGTGTAGGTTGCCCACAACAGGGTGTTTGGGAGCCTGGGGGCTTTCTCCAATAAGCATTTAAGGAAGTCTAGAGCCCCGCAGCTCCAGAGTTAGAATTGGAGAATAGTGGAGGTTGGAAGAGACCCCTGGAGGTCCTCCTGCTCAGAGTTGGAGCAGGTTGCTCAGGGCTGTGTCCAGTTGAATTTTCTATGTACAAACTGAAGCCTGTCCAGCAAAGGCACCAGGAAGTGTAGGGGGTTGAGGCACAGGGTGCACAAGGAGAGGTGAGGAGATCTGCGTCATTCAGCCAGGAGAAAAGAAGGTCGAGGGCTGAACTAATAACCATTTGTTCACAGCTTAATGGTTACAGGAAAGGCAGGCTCAGGTGCACAGTAAAGGATGAGAAATAACAAGCACAAGTAGCAGAAAGGGAAAGTGTAACTAGGCAGAAGGCCAAAAAACACCTCACAGGGTAGAAAGGTGCTGAAAAATGGGCTTGGAGAGGCTGTGAAATCATCTTTGGGGACACAATTCAACCAGACATGTGGGAATACAAGGGGACAGGGACAGGACAGGATGGGGATGTGAGTAGAGACTGGGAATATGGGCACTGGGGGAAGCATGGATGCGGGGTAGGGGAACACAGGGAGGTGTGAGGGGAGAGGACAGGAGATAGGGGAGCAGGAATCAAGGAGATGGGGGAACCAAGGACAGCAGAGGAGAGGACAGAGTGACACATGGCAGGCTGTGCTGTTCCCTGGTACCCTGTGCTGCTCTCTGTGGGCAGGTGGGGGTCTTGGGGGGGAGCAGGATGGTCCTGGGGTGCTTCGGGCTGGGCCAAGGCGCTGCTGTCCCCATGTGCTCCCTGGCACCGGGGCTGGGGGACCCCTGGCTCTTCAGGGTGGGGGTCAATGGGGTTAGGCTCCAGATCAGGGAGCACAATGAGTGGTGGTGGAGGTGTCACCCCCCACGGGGCTGGGGGAGAAGGGGACTTGGTTGTCTCCCACTCAAGGACTTTTGAAGGGGCCCTGCTTCACCCTGGGCTCTGGAGGTGAGCATGCTTCAGGGGGGGTCTGATGGGCCAGAGATGCCCAATAGGACCTGCCCAGGGTAACCCAGGGTTTACAGCCCTGCCCGCACCTTCCCGCTGCCCGAGAGGGGGAAAAAACCCCGTCAGCTTCCACCTGTCTTGTTGCCTGTCCTCAGGGAACCCCCGTGTCCCTGCCACCCGTCCCGGGACGCCAGGCCCTTGGACCTCCCTCTGCCTCGGCCTCTCCCAGCTCCTGGTCGTGGCCACGTGTCCTGTCTGGGCTATAATTACCCGGGCGCATTCCTGGGGGGTCACAGGAGCTTCCCGGAGCGGCAGCAGGCGGTAAGGGGGACGAGTGCGTGGTGCGGCACGCCACGCGGCAATGCAGGACACTGCATGCTGCAAGAACCACGCTGGGCTGCAAAGCACGCGGCCGGCGCGAGGACACGCGACACGGTGCAAACACGGCAAGCAAAACGTGAGGCACCACCCGTGACGGGGCAGAGGGGTGACAGTGCGCAGCGCACCGCGGTGTGAGGCAGCATGCCGCGTGAGGGTCTGCACACCCCAACAGCGGTGCGAGGGGGAGCACGGCGTGCAACGTCGTGCGCAACTCACAACGCATCGCACCGCGCAACAGGCACAGCCACGCACCGGAGGGGTGCGATGGGCGGCTTTGCCGGGGAGCTGTGCTGGGGACCGTCAGCTTTGCCGCTGTTGAAGCACCAGTAGTTTCAACTGTGGGGCAGTGGTTGGGGAAGGGCTTGGTGGGTTCTGCTATAGGACGGAGGGTTTGATCAGGGACAGCAGACTGAGCTACGGGGCTGTGGGTCAGAAGTTTCATCCTGAGGGTTCAGCAATGAGGCAGATGAGGGTCATCAGCCTCATCTACGGGGCAGTGACGTGGCCTGTTGGTGTCACCTATGGGGCGACAGTTTTGCCAAGGGGCATCAAACTCAGTTACAGGGCAGTAGCAGAGCCTGGTGGCCTCAGCTATGGGGTAGAGGCTTTGGCGGTGGATCCAGTGGCTTCCACTATGGGGCAGGGCCAGGGCAGGACCCCATGTCCCCAGCCATGGGCCAGAGGCTCTGGCTATGGGGATAGCACCCTGACCCCCCACTCTGTGTGTTCCCACAGGCAAGATGTGGGTTGCAGAGGGGCCAGCCCCAGCCCAGTGGAGCCTGCGGGATGGGGCCCACGCTGGACAATTCCTGGCCATGGCCGACCAGCTCCGAACCGCAGGACAGCTGGTGGACGTGGCCGTAGGCCCGGAGGGTGATGTGGCCCACGCCGTGGTCCTGGCCTCCATCAGCTCCTTCTTCCTCCGCTTCCTGGAGGGCAAGACCAGAGCGCTGCGCCAGGACCCCCCACCTCATGTCCCCCTGCCACCTGGGGCCACGCTGTGGGGCTGGCGGGCTGTTCTCACCTTCGCCTATGGGGGAACCGTGCCCCACGGCCGGGAGAAGGAGGTGGAGGAGGCTGCCCGGGCCCTGGGGGCCCCCCGGGTGGTGGCCGCCTGTGCCCTGCGGCTGGAGAGTGACCGCCAGGAGGGAGGTCCCGAGCCCCTGGAGGAGCAGTGGGAGACACTAAGAGCCATAGAGCAACTCCATGCCAGCGGCCTGGGCTGCGACCTCCAGCTCCAGGCAGGGGACAAGGTCATTCCAGGTGAGCCAGGGGTGGGGGTCCCCTGGGAGGGGCTGAGGGGGGGCAGGGCGTGCTGCGATAGCTGCCTCCCCTGGCAGGGATGCTGGGGGCTGAGGCTCTGGGCAGGGGAGGAAGTGCCCGCAGGGCTGGTCCCCTTGGGAGAGCCGGGGGTTTGGGGAGGAGGCACCAGGACACCGGAGTTCCCAGGGTGCTGCACGGTGCAAAGGATCCTGTGCTGCCCCCCATCATTGTTTCTCCTTCCCCATAGTGCAGCGCCTGGCCCTGAGCTGCTCCTGTGACTTCTTCCGGGCCCTCTTCACTTGCCCCATGCGGGAGGCCACCCATGACCCTGCCACCCCACTGCCCACAGGGCTGTCACCGGATGAGCTGCGCCTCCTCCTCTCCTTCGCCTACACAGGGGCTGTGACAGGGCCGTGGCCCATGGTCCTGGAGGCAGCCGAGACGTCCCTGCGCTACCAGGCCTGGGGGCTCCTCACCCTCTGCCTGGACGTTTTCACCCATGACCTGACCCCAGAAACTGGCCTGGATGTGCTGGCCTTTGCTGTGGCTTATGGGCTGGCAGAGGTGAGCCGTGTAGCAGAGGACTACATCTTGGCTACCTTCCCCAGTGTGGTGGCCACACCAGCCTTCCTGGATCTTCCTGCACATCTTCTCATCCGCCTTCTCCGCTCTGACAGTCTCAATGTCCTCCATGAACTGGAGGCTTTGGAAGCAGCATCCCGGTGGCTTACGGCCAATGGACATGGCCAAGAGGATCTAGCCAAGGAAGTCCTGTCATCTGTTCGCTTTGCTCTCATGTCTGGCCGGGAGCTGAGGAAGGTCCCCTCGGTGACTGCAGGGGTAGCTGACCCAAAGGTCCTCCGCGAGCTCGTGGTAGCAAGTTTGGCCCCCATGGCCCAGCTGCCATGCCGGGTGCGTTCCTTGCAAGAGGTGCTGGTGGTTTGTGGTGGAGACAAACTGACGGCCAACCTGGCGGCCCGGAAGCCCAGCAGACACCTCTGGTTTGCCCACCGCTACCTCAGTGCTGTGGGACTGGTGAAGCAGGTGGAGTGGCGGGCACTGGGACACTTTCCTGATGGCCCACGCTTCCGCCATGCTGTAGCTGTGGTGGGCAACATCCTCTACGTCCTCGGTGGAAAGCGCTACTACGGGGTCCATGACACCCTGGCCAGTGTCTACAGGTGAGAGCTGCAGAGGATCAGAGAAGGTGTTGGTGGAGCTAGAGCTGCCCCATGGACCCAAGGCATTGTGGCACTGGAGTTAATCAAGGGGTCCCAAGGCATTCTGGGATTGGTTTGGTGTAGGACTGGGAGGTGCCCTCCCACTCTGGGATCTTACAGGCTTTTTGTGGGTAGGGCATGGAGGCTCCTCTCTGGAGATGCCTCAGGGCATTATGGGTCTGGTATTGCCCAGACGGAGGGGATATTCTAGTGCAAGGCGACCATGTGTCCCCAGGGCATTGGCTGGCTGTAGGCGGGTTGTTTCCCTCAGCGGTGCCAAAATCACCTCATAGCATTGTAGGTAACAGGTAGTCTCTTGCCTCTTTACCTCTCAAACCCAGGTATCAGCCTATGGATGATTCCTGGGAGCGTCTGGCCAGCATGACCTGTGGGCGGAGCTACTTTGCCGCTGTGGCACTTGGGGATTTCATCTATGCCCTGGGAGGCAGCTCAGGAGAGCTCTACTGCACAGACACTGTGGAGTGCTATGACCTGGCCAACGACACCTGGAGGTGAGACCGTTCCATGTAGACACCTGCTTCCTTCTGCCCTAGGAGCCCCTTGCTTTGGCCAGCGGTGCCCATTGAGTGGTCTTTGGGTCACTGAGCCTCCAATGGAGAATGGGCTTACAGTGGCCTTTGGGAGAGGTCTACTGGGTTTTGAGCAACCATGTCCCTTGGGGGTCACTGGGTGTTGGCCCATGTTGCCTGCTGGGTGGTGAATGAGTTTTTGGCCAATAGTATTCACTGAAGGTCTGTAGGCCATCTGCCAATGAGACAGCTCTGTTCATTGGATGCTTGGTTGGGTGTTGACCAATATTGTCCATTGAGGGAGTCCACTGTGGGTTGACCAATGGTGTCTTTTGGGGTCTACAAAGTGTTGAACAGTGGTGCCCCTTGGGCATCCATTGTGTGTGCCCACTGGGGCAGCGCTGCCTGCTGAGTGGCCGATGGAGCCATGGCTCACTGGGGCACTCCTGGGCAGGCAGTCACCATGGGGCAGCCCGGCTTAACCTGCCCTTCACCCCCTCCTCTCTCCCTGCCCAGGAGGTGCCAGCCCTTGCCGATGGCTCTGTGTGGGCACGCTGCGTGTGCCCTGGAAGGTGCCCTCTACGTGTCAGGGGGGTGTGATGAGGCGTACCAGTGCCAGGCATCCCTGCTGCGCTACATCCCGGGTGCGCCTGCCACACTCCTGGCCCCCATGAACGGCCAGCGAGC